GGAAGCCAATCTTTATAGGTAAGATAAAGTTTTCTTCAAACAACATGGAATTTTATGTCAGTGATTATTTTTGAAACTATGTTTATCATTTCTTCTCTTTTATAAGAATATTTAAGCAAATGAAATTAGGAATATGGGTAAATATTATTTTTACTAAATATTTATTTATGTACTATCAGTCATATTAAATTTTTATTCCATGTTTTAGGTCTCTACCAATATGTCAAAAATTGTATATATGTAATTACTTTTGTAAAATAAAATATTTTTTAAATCCATGGACTAAAATATTATGAATGTTTTCACTTGTTGAGTATTTTTGTTATTTTGCTAAAATTATTTTTCACTAGTTACAATTTAATTAATTAATTGATTTTTAAATTTTGGTTACTTAGATTATGCAATTAAAAGTGTACAATTGTCGGATTGCCTGGGTGGCTCAGTCAGTTGAGCATCTGACTTTAGCTCAGGTCATGATGGTGCGGTTCATGAGTTCGAGCCCCACATCAGGCTCTCTTCTGTCAGCCTGTCAGCACAGAGCCCACTTCAGATTCTCCTTACTCTGTCCCTCATTAGTTTGTGTTCTCTCTCTTAAAAAAATCATTAAAAACATTTAAAGAAATAAATAAGTGTATACAATTGCCAATTATCATAAACAACTATAAATTTGAAGAACTGTCCAATAAAACAAGGGGTGAGGAATTTGGAGTTAGAGGAACAAAAGTAACATTCCACAAGTACATTTTGAAAAGTGCTTAATATCATGCTGATGTCTGTGATTTGCTTTAAAATGTGTCAAGATAAGATGGATTGATGGGCAGATAAAGGGATGGGGACAGATTTGTGATACAGAAGCATAGTACAATGTGAATGGTAGAATTTCGATAGTATGTATAGAGTGCTTACTGTAAATTATTAAAGTATGCTATATGCTTGAAGTTTTTCATAATAAAATACTGAGAAAAGTGCTTACAATCCTGAACTGCAAAGTAATGGTCTAGTGTAATTAGGAAATTGTTATTTTATCCCTACAGACACATTCACAAATATTTCAAAATTTTCATGGCTTTAGTTCTGTTTCTGCATTGGTAATCATTTTTATATGCTTATATTTATATTCATATACATATTCATACTGATTTATATTTATATTTCCAAAATGTTATTTTTTAATGTCTGTATATCTGTACCATTTTACTTCTGTTGAAGGAAAGTGTAAGTGAAACCAAAGCAACAAAAAATGAACAAAGAGAAATAATAATCAGAATAAACTGATTATTATCATGATAATTCAGCAGAGTTACTCACAGTAAATGCCAAATACTTCTTTAGATCTTCTAACATGCATTTATAATAGAGGCTTTCATAGTCGCTTCATATTATGGATACTTTGTCGATTTTGTTTGACTAAATTACAAAGAGATTGGGAGACTGACTACATACTAATACCAAGAAATATTCAATTAACCAAAACAAGGGGCGTCTGGGTGGCTCAGTCGGTTAAGTGTCCAACTTTGGTTCAGGTCACGATCTCACGGTTTGTGAATTCGAGCCCTACAACTCAGAGCCTGGAGCCTGCTTCAGATTCTGTGTCTGCCTCTCTCTGCCCCTCCCCTGCTTGTGCTTACTCTTTTGCTCTCTCTCTTAAAAATAAATAAGTAAACATTAAAAATAAATACATTGATTAATTAACCAAAACAACATAGTCATTACCTGTTTGCTCCCAGACAAGCATCAAGCTAGTCCTTAGGAAAAAAAATATGTCTTTGCATGTATTTAAAAGTCCTTGATCTAGTTAAGAAAGCATGCTAGTGAACAATTTCCATGCAGGATGGTTATCAGTGCCAGAATATATATACATTTAGAAGAGTTATATAATATACAGGAGACATTCTCATCCCTATTTTAGAGACAGGGGGTCAGAACAAATTTCCCACACTGAACTTCTAAAATTTAATAGAAATTAACAAGACATAGAAAATGTCCCAGGCATTTAACAGAAGACATAAACTTGAGTTATGTTATAAACTTGATTTCTTTTTAAATGTGGGAAGGACATCAAGTTTATATATGTTAATCATATTTACTTATGTATCTACTAATAATAAAAGCAGCTATATTTTTTTGGATATTTCCTTAGTCATTATGCTAGATTCTTGAATGATGAAATCATTCATCAGTGATTTTTTGAGTGTCTTCTTGTGAGTGTTTATTACTATACTTTCCCTGTGGGATAGAGGCTGTAATTTGGTGATATAATCACCAAATTATATCCAGGTAATATAGATAGAAAATGATAAAGAAGAGATTTTTAAATCAAGGCTACTTGATTTTAATTTTCCGTCCATTGTAATTTGTTGTCTATTCCCTTATTTAAGAAAAAAAAAAGTCTTCTAACACAGAAATGTTGAATCCTCAGATGACATCAAGTTCAACCGTAAGCCATCCTCATGATGGGTAAGTCCAAAAATGTTATACATGCTAGTATTCTCCTTGATGTTCTCTTGTGATGGTACTTTTTATTATTGCTCACAACTTGCAATTATAAAGGTTACAAAATAGCAATTGTACTGGTTTTAATTCTTACACAATTTCTATGTCAGCAGAGGTGGTACAAACCAGTGTGGCCAAACAATCCTATAAAACTGACTGGTTAGTTTCATCTGTGTTAAATAGTCTCTATATTTAATCAGCATTTTCAATGTTACCCTTAGAGGTGTTATTATAGCTCATTTTAGAGAAGGACATCGTGCCTTTGAAAAAGTTCTGTAACTCGCCAATGGTCATACCCTGTTATTATTTTGAAGTCTTCTCTTTATTCTATACAAAAATGAGTGCCCATAAGTTTAAGAAACACATTCAATGAATATTTTCTGAAACTAGGTCTTAATGAACGAATTTATAAAATATTGCTTAAAACATTATAATAAGGGTGGCACCTGGGTGGCTCAGTCGGTTAAATGTCTGACTTCAGCTCAGGTCATGATCTCAAGAGCTGCATCCGGCTCTCTGCTGTGAGTGCACAGCCTGTTTGGATCCTCTGTCTTCCTCTCTCTGTGCCCTTGCCTCCATTGTGTTCTCTCTTTCTCTCTCTCTCTCTCTGCCTGTCTCTCTCTCTCAAATTAAATAAACATCTTTTAAAAATTTAAAAACACACTATAACAAGAATGAGTAATATTTAGAAACAGATGGGTAACTAATAACTAGTAAGTATAATTAACTGTATATATAACATATGCCACATTAAAATAAGGTCTAAATATTATAGTTAGTCCTTACATTGCAATTATTTTTGCTTCATGTTGTCAACTAAGGACTCATTTGCACAAGAGAAAAATTAGAAGTAACATATTAAATGCTAAGCTGCTGGCAGCAGCTTGTGGTTGAGGTCCTGCACCAGTCAGAACACAGAACTGATGATATTAACAACATTTGCCACTGTTAGAATACGTTTTGAAAGCTTGAGAAACCTAACAAAAGCTAAATACAAATAATTGGGGACAACGGTAATGCATTTTTTCATGGTGCTACTAAGAACAGATTTAAAGAGCACTGTGAAAGGTCAGCACTAAGGAAATGGTCAATTAATGGAAGTGAGAGCAAAAAAGAGGAGGAGCTGGAGCAAGGGATAGAGAAGAAGGCAATTGCATAAGATGCATCTACATTTAGGGAAGAGGCAATGATGGAAATGTAGAATTGAAATTTATGAAGGAAGTTAAAGGGAGTGGCTGAAGTTATGACGGTATTTGTCTAAGTTGATGGTAAACAAATATAAGGCAAGGCCATGTGAAACCTCAATGCGTTAGAGAAATGCAGTAGGAAAAGACCCAGCAGAAAAGGGCTATATCCACATTTCCCTCTTTAAACAACTTATAGTCGGGGTGGAGATCGTAAGGTAAGTCCAATAAGACATAAATGGGGTATCCTCTGAGCAATTCAGACAAAAAGCTAAGGAGAAAAGTTAAGAGACAAGTATAAGCAGGCCTATAAGAAATAAGTCATCTTACTACAAGAAGTCATCTTGTTAAAAGAAGGGGAGGGTCTGATATGGATATAGAGCAGTATTACAGGATACATGTAGCAGGATGTCAAAGAGCATCATTCCTTCAAAGATTTTGACTGTCAGGCTGACATCTCCCCATCAATTTAAGAGGTGGAGGTATGTAACACAATTATGCTAATTTTAATCAACAGTTAAAAATTATATATGAGTTTTCATTTCTATTTCATTAATAATTTTTAACTTTGACACTTGTTATACCTGTTATTTATCCTTTTCTCCACACTGGAGTAATATATTTATAATTTATTGTACCCCAAACATTGTTACTGTGAATTTCATTGTAGAGTAACTGAGATAATTTAAAATTTGAATATATACAAATGTAGGGGTGCCTGGGTGGCTGAGTCAGTTAAGCATCTGACTTGGGCTCAGGTCATGATCTAGCGGTCCGTGGGTTCGAGCCCAGCATCCGGCTCTGTGCTGATAGTTCAGAGCCTAGATCCGGTTTCAGATTCTGTCTCCTCTCTTTCTGCCCCTCCCCCTCTCAAAACTTAATAAACATTTAAAACAAAACAAACGTGTGTAATAAGAAAAATAAAAATAAAGATAGTGAATCTTTCTGATGAGTTTAAAACAACATAGTTGATATATTTCAGAATACTGAACATTTGCATGAGCAAAACAAAATCTCATTTATTCATTTTATTAACACATAATACCATAAGGAAAACAAGAATTGATTTAAAGAATATTTTTGTTCTGGGATTTGTATTCATATCCAAAGAGGGAATAGATAATGTAAAATACAATCAGAATTTCGTTGAAAGGTTGCCACTGAAATCTCAAAGTGATTTTATTCTTTTGGCCTTGGGGGATATTCCAAAGTAAACAGATAATGTGTGTTATTGCTCTTTTGGTACCCCTAAATATTCTCCCCTTTGCTTCTTAATGGTGTTAATGTAACTGGAGGTGGTTACAGCGATCAACTTGGGTTTACCTTTGCTTCAATCTGCTTAGTATCTGGATTCTGAAACAAAAATTTGATTTTGCTTTTGCCGTCATCTGAAGAGCCCTTCAACTGAGAAAACTTAAACCTCCAAAGTACAGCCTAAGGGGAAAGAAACATAACACAAGTCAGCACAGTTTATATCCACTTTCAAGCCAAGAAATAGTACTTTTTTAAGTAGTAAAAGTTATCATTTTAAGTTAATATGATATCCCAGTATTAAAAAGTCAGTGAAAACATATTACATATTTTATATTTATATTTATACCTATTACTCATTTATATTTATAGCAATATAATATTATATTGATCAATACATATCAAAGGCTATAATTTATTATTCAACATATCCTTTAATTTCCAGAAATAACTTTATTACCGATGAAATAATTACTTCAAAAAACATATGCAAATAAATCAATTGAAATGTCTTGCTTTATATTATCATGAAATATAATCAAGCTCAGTTAAAGCATATATCTATGCTAGTGAGTAAGCAAAACATTATAATTTGTTTCCTTTTTCTGTTAATAGAAGGGATAAGGTGATTTTGAATTGATAATTCTGTAGATACTCTGTGGTATTTTCTCTTAAAGCTCAAACAAATCATCTGCAGCTTTGTCAAGATGAAAGCTTGAATAAATAATTATGACAAAAATTACATGGCATCCCCATGAGACTGAATGACAATAAGCATTTTACAAAAGTAGCCCATCTGTCTATCTCAGTCAATATGATTATTTGACTAAAAGTCTTCTTTCAATATTGCAGAAGGAAGTTTAGGTAGTATGAAATATACCTAATAACCAAAATGCTCATTACAACATAACCGTGCACTTACTGTTTGGATACTGACATGGGACTCCAATGACATGTCCACAGATTTTTTTTCGAGTGAGATGCATGTATATTTTTTATTTAAAAAATTGAGAAGCTTGTACAGAGAATTCTTATCATACAATTTGTTCTATTATTAATATCTCAAATAATATGGTACACTGTCATAGTTAATGAACCAATATTGGCACATTATTCTTAACTAGAGTCTTAAACATTTATTCAGTTTTTCTTAGTTTTAACATAATGCCTTTTTCTTGTACAAGATTCCACCCAGGAATTTATTCATTGTGCCTTAGGCTCTACTTGTCTGTGACAGTTTCTCAGATCCTTGCCAGACTGTCCATGATAATTGGAGGAGTACTGGTCAGGTATTTTGTAGAATGCCCCCTATTGGACTTTGATGTATTTCTCATAACGAGGTGGGCCATAGATTTTACAAAAATGAAATAACACTCTGTGATTTTTGTTGCTAATCCCAGTGTATATTTCTGAGTGAGATGTTACCATTTAAGATATGTTGTTACAGTGGAGTAAAGTATTAAACTTCATTAGGTGGCCTTAACATGATCAATAATTCATTTAAACATAAAGATATGTGAAAAAAAAGCGCATGGCTTTATATACGAACTCCATTTCTTATTATTCTATTATTTATTAAAGTATTTAATAATACTTTGCATGTTTTCAACCTTTTAAAATTTATTACTATGTGTTTTATATTCTTACATATGGTCTTTTCTAGAGAATGTTCCATGGACACTTGAAAAAAAATGCATAATCTGTTCTGGTTAGGTGGTGTATTCTGTGTATGTCTGTTAGATATAGTTGGTTATAGTTTTCTTCAGATTCTGCATTTCTATATTTGTCTTTTGTTCATTCATTATTGCAAGTGGAATATTAAAACTTCTAACTATTTTTATAGAATTGTCTACTTCTCCTTGTATGTTGAAAGTTTAGCAAAGTTACTACATGGCATTGCTGCCTTAGTATCCATTTAGCTTGGTCAGTGGCCTGCAGGACTCACACTGACATTAGCCCCCTTGTGCACGTGCACACCCTAGATAGCAGCCGCACAGTCAGGGACATGTTAATATCCTGATACGACCCCCCAGCAGCCTTTGTGATCAATGTAATCCCTTGTCTCCTAGGGTTTATATGCTTTGTGCACCACTTAGGTAAGACTCCTGTCCGACTTACCAAAACCTTGCTCTTTGGGTATGAATTGACCCATTCAGCCTTAGCCCAGGAACCCTCCAGCGCTCCACCCATGGGCCCTAAAAAGGCATCCCAGGTCTAGTCTCGCTGTCAGTACTCCTCTTTGACCACTACGTGTGATTCCCCAAGACATGTCATGTCTTTCTTTCAGGACTTGTGAGTAAAAACTCCTGTATTTCAAGTTGTCTTGTAGTCTGTTGTCAAAGTTGTGGCTCATCATCTGGAAACCGTGCTCCACCTAAATGTTAATTTCACAAAGCATAGCACTCCAATTCCATTAGCATTTAATATAGTTGGGGACTCTGATGCTTGCTGCCTATATGTTTATCATTGTTAAATCTTCTTTTTGAATTAATCCTTTTATCAATATATAATACTTGTCTTTGTCTCCTATAACAGTGACATGAAATCTATTCTTTCTTTTATTGGTTTATCCACAAGCTCTCTTCTAGTTCCATACTTTGCATGGAATATCTTTTTACATCATTTTTATCTTAATCCACTTGAGTCTTTAGATCTAAAGTTAGCCTCTTGTAGACAGCACGTAGTTGGATCTTTTTTTTTTTAATCCATTCTGTGCTGAGAAGAAAATGGCAGTTACTGCTTAATGATTATAGAGTTTCTGACTGGAGTGAGTATAAGTTTTAGAAACAGGTCACATGAACCAATTAATGTCATTGAATTGTACACTTAAAAATGGCTAAAATGGGAAATTTTCTATTATTTTAATACAATAAAAACAAAACTTAAAAAACTCTTTTTGAAAACAATATGTCTCCAAAATCCACTCAAAGTAAATGCTAATTAAGAAGTTCCCACTTTAAAAAATACAATGAAATAACAAAATCATAAATTCCTTAAAAATAAAGATGAGAAAATTATCAATAATAATGACACATAATTAATTTCTACAGCATCTTTTGATTCTTTATATATTTATTCCCTAAACAATTATGAAAGGTTATTATATATTAAGTATTTTGTTAGGTTTAGATAAAAGAAGAAACTGTCACCATCCTGACGACATTAATTTCTGTACAAATAAATGATTTTCCTTTCATTCTTACTATGGACTACACAATTTATAAAGAAACAATATCCAATATTATAAATTGTCTTAAATGTTTCTTTAAATCTAGTATTATACAGAATCCTCTAACAATAAAATTACCTGAGACAGTTAATTTTCTGGAAAAATAACACAAATTAAACCTTTAACTCACAATTTCCTCTAAATAAAATTCCTTATGTTTTAATGAGTAAAATAATTTAAACAATCCACATTATAAGAATATTACATAATACAAGTGAATATTGAATAACTTTGAAAAGAGGGAGTTCTAGACTTAGGAGTAATAAGAAATTTTATAGTCATTATGTACAGGTAATATATATTTACTAAAATGAAAAGGAAAGCAACAAACTTCATGGCATATAGCAGGATCTATGGTATAGTATAAGTATTCTAAACATAAAATAAAGAAAAGGATAATATGGAGAGGTCTTTCGAAAGAATGAAAAACAATTATTTTTAATAAATATGACAGCATTTTTTATCCAATTAAAGTGAAGAATAACTAACTAACCTGATGTAAATTAAAAAAAATAAAAATACAAAAGTGAAATAAAGGAAAATAATATTAAAATGATACCCCTTTTTCTGAACATTTAATAAAAATCACTGAAAATATAATAACTAAAGTTAGCAAGGTTATATTGAAACAAGCATTTGCATAAAATTGCTAGCAACAGTGGTTTGAATTCAAGACAATAATTTTTTAAATAAAATTCATTTTCAAATTGGTTTCCATACAACACCCAGTGCTCATCTGAACAGGTTAAGACAATAATTTTAATATTTATTTTAAGCTTTAAAAATAATAATAGTATTTGATCCAGAAATTCCATTTCTAAAAACTAACTGTAAGGAAATATGGTATATGAAAAACAAAGGAAAGTGTAAAACACATTAATAGTAAATATCAAAAATGGAAATTCTGAACATTTACATTAAGGCAATGCTCATGAGAATCATATATGTATACAGAAAAATGCAAAAATATTATCGTAAGGAAGACCATAAACACATGAAATATCCTTTATATTAATAATAGATGAAATAATCATATTAAAACCAAGGAGCTTGTAAAAGGGAACATGTCTGGAAACTATAGCATCTATGTGGCTCAGGTCCAGACGTTAACTTACTATTAAATCAAAACTTTATTTTTAGCTTGTTTGGCTGTAAAACGAAAAGCTTTCATATTCTCAAATTATAATTTCAAGTATATTTGAAATAATATTTCATATGAAGTGATTATAGTGTAAAACTGGAATTTACTATTTCAACTAGATGAATTTTCAAGGGGTCAAACAGACTTCAAAAGTTTATTTTTTTAAACAGAATAACAAAGTTAATCTGGGTAAAGAAGGCATATTATAGACCTATAAAGGAGTTTTGGAAACCTTTCAGCATATGGAGCATGAATCCTTGGCTGTGAGTAGGACACTCCAAAAATGAATAAAGTACTCAATGAATCTAATAACGATTGACTGAAAGATTTGACAGTTAAGAGGTAATGATACAAAGTTAATATAACAACTTCTGTGACAGATGATAGCCAGCTTTATTATGGTCATCACCACCTAATGTATATAAATGTTGGATCACACAGCATATGCCTAAAACTTATATAGTGTATGTTAACTACACTTCAACAACAACAGCAAAAGTAAGTCAGTAGCAAAATAAAGCAGCCACCTAAAACACTTTATGTGGCACCTGTTCAATCAATGTTTGTAAATATTAAACAAACAAAAGTTAATGCAGTAACTTTGTCACTTTGTGAATTGGTAATTCTCACAGAAATTCATTAAGGCCAATTTGGGAGAATTTGAATCTGAAAATACTATCAGTAAAAGTTTCACAGGCTTAATTCAAGAACTCATTGACAATATTATTTCTTATGCCAGTATTTTATTTTCAAGTTTCGGATAAGCATTATGGAAACTATGTTAAGAATACTAATAATGAGGGGTGTTGGGTG